TATATGAAATAATGATATACTGAGAAAGACAATATTCAGAAATGTTATTGAACTTCTAGCGTCCTGATTTTAGAAGACCCAGCTAACAATGCTATGGAGTTTTGCTTTGAAAAGACTGACTTCAAAAGTTCAGAGGTCATCCAAGTACCACCATGTGAAAGCATGATCAGAGAATGATATAATTTTGTATAATTTTTATATATCAACAAACAGCATTTAGAAAAATATGAAAATATATATTTATCATAATTGTCCGCGGAGATGGGGAGATTTAAAGTTAAGTAATTGTTTTGCATATATAAAAATATATATATATATATATATATATATATATATATATATATATATATATGCACACACACACATATATAGAGATAGACAGATAGATAGATAGATGCATATATATATATATATATATATATATATATATATATATAGCTGATTGATTGGCCATGATTCAACCCATACTATTTGTTTATAAATGTGCTTACAAGGAGTAAACAAACAAGAAGAAGCATTTATATTACAATAATATACAAGGTTGAATGAGGAAATGACTCGGGGAATTTATACTGAGTTGTAGAATTTAAAGTTAATGTTCTATACACAAAAATGTTTTTTATGACAAGTCAAAATGTCTTTGTTTAGTGTGTTTGAAGTGTATGCCAATAATATAGGATTTGTAATGAATAAAACAGTTCGAGTCAAAACAAATCTTTTATTTAAGAATTTTAATATTAAGAATGCGGTAGGATTTGTCTATCTTTATCTGTTAAAGTATTTTCTGCAGACTTTAAAGAAACTTGCAGATGAAATTATTAGCTGAAATTCGATCTGAACTCTCTGTATAATATCTGTCCAATATAATAATAATCACCACTGATTTAAGTGGACTGGTAACGAAGTAGTTATATTAAAAGATGAATATTTGTAAAATAAATCCATTTTTATCATAAACTTATTAATCTAACTACGTAACAATAGATTAACATAAATAATTATCGTGGCGATAACTTTATATATAAGAGCTTTTGTAAGTTACACAGTAACGATTACCTTAATTCCTGAAACTTTGCAAGAGGGTTCTGAGAAACTGTCAGCCCAAACAAGAATCTTTTACAAAAGAAAAAAATGTCTGTATTTGGACAGTGTTTGATTTATTGCATAGTCCGAGAAATGCTTTGTAGAATCCACTTTTATATCGGACATTCAGTTCACAACGTCGTGTTCCGTAATTACTAAAACAAATGTTTGGCCATTTTCTTCTCTACTGCCAGGAAGATATATTTATCGTTGCAGAAGCTAACGAAGCTAAGTGGTTGAGTAACGGCAAACAGACTAGTATCAGAAACATCGAAACTTTGTTGTGTGTGAAGGAAGCCAGCATTAAAATAATAATAGCATTATTTATATTTTCCTCCTATTCTCAGAATAAACCCAATCATTATACGAGGTCAGATCAAAATGCATCGGGACTGGTACTGTAAAAAGAAAACTACAGTATATATCAATTCGGCATTTAATTACCTTCGAAGTAGTCCCCTCCTGAAACTACAGCCTTTATTCAGCGTCATTTCCAGTGATGGAAGCATTCATGGAACTACTTCTTTGGGATAGTATTCTCTTGGATTTCCTCGATGTCTTGAAATCTTTTTAAGTAGGATGTGATTTTTGAATCACAATGGGAAGATCTGGAAAATATGGTAGTTGTCGGATATGGGGGAAAAAATGGTGTGGTGTGATGAAACGACCACACTCTACACACATTCTGCCATGCACTACTATAAACAACAGAAGTAATCGAGAACTTTATAACGTAGTCTGCATGCGCCACAAAATTCGGCTTCACTATGCATGCCATAGCAAAATTCCCGTTACTTTTTTTTTATCAGGCCTTGTATATATGATCATTAAAATGAAATAAATATTTCCCATATTTGATTAATAAATCTTATTCGTGGTAACATTCCTTGACACGCATAAAGTTATAAGTTTCAGTAGGTAATAGTAATGGTATATGGCACCATATTGTGACGTTATGGAAATGCCCAGACCTATACATTGTGCTCTACCATGAGATGAGCCAGTGTTAAAGTGGACTATGCTGCAAAAGACAAGGTAGAGTAACTTATTGGATTTCACACGCGCCATGATTGTGGATGCCAAACTTAATTTCCGAATTTGTGTGTATCACGTGTATACCAGAAACGGAGAAAAATTACCAGGATGGGAGAAATACGGCCCAGTGTGAACAAGGTATTATAAAATATAGTGCGTATAAGGTATATAAGGTTTAAGATGAATATCCAATAGGTCCTTTCAGCGTTCTTTATTTTCCATTGGAGATGGAAGCAGAATATCCGCCCGGGTTCCACTGCGAACACCACGAGCTACACACAGCTACTTGGCCTTATGACATCGCTAATTAAGTTCTGGAAGTCTGGAAAATGAAGCACTAATTGAGAATACTAAGTTTGTTAATATTTAATTTTATTAATTAGTAAAAAAATAGATTGAAACACTTACAAGATTATCGAATGTATCAATTTTGATGCTTTCTCTCTTTGCAAAAAAAAGATATTTGAGATACATTAAGCGACTTCCTCTACTGTTGCTGTTTGGGCGGAATAAATATGTCTGTAACATGAATCCACGCTGTCTTCTTATTCACTTTTCAATATCGATTACCATCCTGACTTGGACGGTTTAGGATTAAGTGCAATAATTCGTTCTAACGTTTTGTGTACACTTTTGTCTTCGGGTATTCACTTTAGTACCTCACTATTTAAAGAGTTCTTGTAAGAAAAAGGTATATCTTCAATGAAAGTCTTTATGTTGTTTCGAAAAATATTAATTAAAAATTGAGAAAGTAAGTCTTCCAGTTAGGTGTGCTTATCCACCTAGACAGGTCATTGAACGGTGATAATTACGTTACAATGCTTCGGGACTATTTGTACACATTCATGAGTTCCATGACGAGGGCGGGGAATATTCCAAGTTGTTAGGAATATGCTTGAGGAGTATTCTGGAGAACTTCGAGATTTCGCCACCACGTTCGCTCGATATAAATACAACTGTGCATTTTTCGAGTATATTGATAAGGTCCACTCGCATATAAGACCCGTTACACAAAAATATCATTGGGAAGACATCAAACTACATCCAGACTCAATGTCACGTCGAGTTGCCTCGCTGACAAGATGCTAAGAAGAAATTCCATCTCTTTTGCCACGTCAGGGTATATAATGAAACTTATATTAACCGACATGTATCTGGTAATAATCAAGTGAATAATTAATGCAAGATTGTTATCTTGAATACTAAGTCAGATGTATATTTGAAAGGAACTAATAAAACTTATCCGCGACAAACAATAACTATTCTTTCTATGTGCCGTATCCATTCAGGACGTTGGCGATCATGGCTCTCCACTTCCCCCATCCCTTGTGGCTTTCAATAAGTTTCGTGCCTCTGCCAACTCCCCAGGCCACGTTCTGCCATCCACTAGCTTAAGCCCGCCAGGTATGTCATGCGTTATTTTCCCTGGTCTCTCTTTCCCTCTATTCGACCTGTGAGTATCAGATTCTCCAGGCCCTCCTTCCTCATTATGTGTCCCAGGAACTTCAGCTGCCTCTTCTTGATGTTAAGTATAAGCCTCCTCTTTGTTTGCATCTTCTTTAAGATCTCATCGTTGCTCACACGCTCGGTCCATGATATCCTTAGAATCCTTCTGTAGAACCATATCTCCGTCGCCTTGAGTCTCTTCTTCATCTTTGCCGCAAAGGGGAACAGATGTTACGTAACAGCTCAGTACTCTTTTCTTTGTTACCAAAGAGATCCTCATGTCTCGCAATACACTGCCCAGCTTTTCTAGTGCGTCCTTAGACATCCCAATACGTCTACGGATCTCAGTGTCGCATTTCCCGTCATCTGTCAGAACGCTTCCCAGATATTTAAACTTCCAAGTCTGCTTGATTCTAGTGTTCTCGACTTGCAAATCGCATTTCCGGCTCATCCTTGCATGAATAAAATAATCATGGAATAAATTACCTTTTTTCTATTTTGCAAGGATAAAGTCTGTTTATATCCCCACATACGGATTAGGCATCACAGAGAGAAAGCCTTCCAAAATGTATGCCGCGCAACGATTAAATAATCTACAGAATGTGTCCTGGTGCTCCTATATTTATAGGCACTACCGAGAACCGCCTAAAGTTTTTTTTTCCTGTTAGTAGTAACAATTAACTTACTTTGTACTAATCTCAATTAGCTCTATATTTACTAAGACTTAGTCCAGCAGAAGAATGAACAGGGTACAGTAAAATAATGTGCAAGACAAATATGTTCCTCCAAATTTCTAAATAGGGAGAGTGTGCAAACTTTGAAAATCAAGAATTAGAATCTGAGTTTTTACTGTGTTTGAAGACCGGCTATTTGCGCAGGTGAAAAATAAAATATATCCGTACTCCAATTAGGTCAAAGATCATTAATGTATTGCATGATATTCACTTTATGAATTATCATTAGTAATAAGCTCGGTCTAATCAATCACAGAAATTTCAATCAAACTAAAACATAGTATTTCTCTACTCTCTTAGTTCTCTTTTTTTTTCTTTTTTTCTTTTTTTTTGTGGGATTCGCTGGATGAAAAACATTCATAATTTGAATGAAGCTCTTTATTTCCAACAGACAAATCAAATATTTATGCTGCGAGTCAATCTTAGTTTGAATCAATAGAGTAATTCTTTAAGTTCTAACCTTTGTTTCACTTTTGTTTATATTGGTGATTTTCTAAGCGTAGCTTAGATGTGGCACGAAAGTGCGAGGCACTCAGTAAGGATCGAACTCACTATTCAGTCGTAACTGTTCTAGCAAGAGAAAATTGCTAAGGATTTCACTACGTCGAGATTCCCAACTTTTGTTTATATTGACGAACCTAAGCTGTTGGCGTAGAAATTATTATTAAATAAAATGGTGACTATAATAATGAAAATTTTGATTTATTTTGTAAAAATGTCCACATTGTTATTATGAAAAGAAAAAGGGACATTAAGACAGAAGAAGAAGAAGAAGAAGAAGAAGAAGAAGAAAAGGAGGAGGAGAAAGGGGATAAAAGTGGAATGGTAGGAGGAATAGGAAAAGGGGAAGGAGAAGGAAGAAAAGAAAGAAGAAGAGGAGGTGGATAAAACTGGATTGGTTGTAGGGATAGGAAAAGGGGAAGGAAAAGGAAAAAAGATAGAAGAAAAGTAGAGGAGGAGGATAAAAGTGGAATGGTTGGAGGAATAAGAAAAGGGAAAGGAAAAGGAAGAAAAGAAAGAAAGAAAGAAGAAGAAGAAGAAGAAGAAGAAGAAAAGGAAAAAGGAAAAGGAATGACTGGAGGAAAAGGAAAAAAGGAGGAGGTGAGAATCAAAGAGCAGAATTAAAAAGTAGATGACTATGGGAAAAGAAGTAGAAGATGTAGGGAAAATTCGAGAAAAGAAAAGAGAGAGAAAAGATTGAGTCGTTAAGGGGGGAGGATTGTGTAGGGAAGGAAGTAGACAGGAATGGAAGGAAAGATCTCAGAAAGCAACAATAAAAACAAAAAGGAAACGAGAGACAAACGTAGGGAGAAAGTGATTACCAATGAGACATGCTTAAATGGCGACGGACCAATTGCGAAATAAAAAAAAATAAACACCGCAAAGAATTTGAAACTCATAAATGAATATTTTTAAGCCATCTTTGTGTATTTTGTATGCTTTCACGAAATTATTTTTAAAATTTTCAGATTTCTCGAGTCCAATTTTGTTAAAGTGAGTCAAGAAATTTCTCAATACAAATTAAATCATAAATATTTTTTCTTCTTGAATTCAAATCCACCATCCTTCCATATATTTATATTATTGGATATAGGAGTTGCTGTAATGAGTCATATTGGTTGGTTATCATGTCTGCACAAATAGCCAGGAAAACTTCGAAGAAAAACTTTTAAAATTTGCTTGAATTTTCTACGAAGAACAAAGTTTTTGTGTTAAACAATAAAACACCATTTTTATTCCTTTCTATTTGTTAATATCGTCCTATTCACATTTCTATAGCTAGTTTATTGTTTCAACATCGACCTTCTTCATCAGTTTTACGTAATGATTAGCGCTTTGTTTTCATTCGTTTAATTTATCATCGTTTTTCTTCTTTCTCTGGCGATTCTTTTCGACATCTTTGATTTTTCTTCACCTACTTGTCTTTAGTTTTTCTTCTTAAACTTCTTTGCTTAATCTCCATTTGATGCTCACCTTCTATTTGTTTCCCTTTTTCCTAAGAACCATCTTTTTCTCCTCCTCCTGTTTTCATTTCTTCATCTACGTCTTTATTTTGCTGTTTTTTCATTTTCATCCTCTTAAATTTTCTCCTCAAGACAATACCGTTCCTTATTTTCCTCATTTTTTTCTATCTTCCTTCTTTTAAAATCTTCTTCGTTTTTTTACCTTCTCATTATGATCCTTTCTTTCTTTTCATTTTTTCATCTATTTCCGTAAGATTCATTTTCATTATCGCAGTACTTATCTCCCGTGAAAAACCGCCACCATCTTTTTTTTTCTTTCTTTTTTATTCACGAATAATACTAACACTAATAATAACAAATAAAGCATAATAATGCTTTTACGATAGCTAGTAATTCTTTATTTGTATCTAGTTCGGCAATCAATGATTTTTTTTCTATATTGTTTTTCTTTTTTACAACAACAAGACGACCAACAAGGAGCCATTATAATACGTTTCCTCCGTTCGTCCAGTTCTCTTTTATCTCTTCTCGTGTATTATTTTTCTTTTATTCTCTTTTTGACTCCAACTTTGATTGCTTTTCTTTTCTCACCTTTTCTTACTTTTTTCCTTCTTTCAATCCAACATTTTCTTCATATTTCTCTTTATCCACTCATTTCTCTTCATCATTCCTTCTACTTCTTTTTCTTTAGTTGTTTTCTAAATATTTTCATCCATTTTAATTTTTATCCGCATTTTCATTCTCTTTTTAAGAAACCAGCGTTCAAATATAGAGGCAGGCTTCATAATCGATGCAAACGGAGGAAGATGAGGTGGCAGAGTAACTAAACTTTGATACGCCGTCTCTTCCAAAGACAAAACAAATGAAAAACCTGAAAGAAAAATTTAAATACTCAGATAGTGTGTTGGGTAAAGTAAGCGCGGGCAACAAATAACGCCTTGGTTATGAACCATTCTCTCATTTTGATAATGTTGACAACGACCACTACTATATTGGTACAACGGCCGTATTGGCTTGTGAGGGGAGCCTTAATTGACTGAACGTCTCTATCAATGTTCAACAATGTCGTTCCCAATGAAGATTCACGAATAAAAACTGATGGGAAAATATCATTAAACTAATGGTACCAAGTGCTCCACTCATCAACTATCTCGAACGAGTGAATTATCGTCTGATTTTGTTAACGAGCCACCATTTGAGAGACAGTATAAGATTGCAAGTGTGCATATGCGTGTATATGTTTAAGAGCTTTGTGTGTGTGATTTTACTTTCGTGCGTGTGTATGCTCCTATATATATATATATATATTGAGAGAGGGACATGAACTTAGAGACAGAGACAGAGGGGAAAAGAGTGTGTGTGCGTGAGAGAGAGAGAGAGAGAGGGGGAGTTAAAAACGAACGAAACTGCCTGAAATTCCGCTAGCAGATTTGTCGTATAAATATTCTATGACCTTGTAGCAGTATGTAAACCTTCTGATTACAGAAGATACCTTCGGCCTTGTTGTATGCGAACCAACGACTTTGGATTACTATTAAATGGACAATCAGGGAAGGATTAGATAAATCAGGTCAGAGATGGAAGAATTAGGCGACCCAGTGTTAAAATGAAGCAATTTAAGTTTTGTGCGCACAAGAATATTAATCGAAGTGTGGCACCTTGCATTATTAGAAATATTCATAGAAATATGATTTAATTTTTTCTTACTCGGTTACTAAACAGGTTGTTAATTTTTTTTTTTAAACGGAAAATAACTGAGTTGAAAATAATTCACTAAGAGTGTACTAGACGATCCTAAGGAAAGAAGAAGGAAAGAAAGGAAAAGGAAGGAAGGAGGAAAAGAAAGAAAGAGAAATGTATGACATGACCCAATTGAGGGTGGAGATAGGAGTCAGAAAGAGATTTAGGTCAGCGTCTTGGCCGATTTTCGAAAGTCATTTTGGTAAGAATGTCGGTCAGAGCACCTAGCCTACTTTTGCATGGAAAGACACCTTATCAATTTGGATAAAGAGAAATTTTGGGAACAATGAAACAATTTTTAATCAGAGAAAAAGTGTCTTTGGGTTGAGGGGAGTGACCGGTGGAACGATATACAGACCTGTTAAGAATTGGACACCCACGTTAATAAAAGTAGAGACATTTCAATGTAGATAATTAAGATTTTCGACTATCAGGTAAAACAAAAGAGGTAAAAAGAGGGACAATTGCTTTTGGCTCACAGAGGGCGCCAAGAAGGCGGAAAAGATCCTTTCTAAAGTCAAGACTAATTAGCAGCGGGCTGTTTGACAAAGTCCAGGTGAGAGAAAGCCAAAGATTGTCATTTTGCGTACGTGCAAAAAGGGGCAAAATTGGATTTTGTTTTTTTTAAACAAGAACGATGTAACCACGCCCGCAACCAGAGGGGAGAGGATGTTCGATCAATAACAATTGGTCGAATACGATCACGTGACCTGCGGAAGAAAAGGGAAAGAAATGTTTGATCAATAACAATTGGTCGAATACGATCACGTGACCTGCGGAAGAAAAGGAAAGAAATGCTCGATCAGGAACGATTGGTTGAAAAGCGGTCACCTGACATACGAGAGACTAAGAGAGATGGATGTGCGCCGCCCACCAAAGGTACTGCGAGGAAGTAGGGGCGAAAACAATAGCGATAATGGAGAAGACAGAATTAATGCAGTTTTTGGAATTATCGAGAAAACCCTGACGCCGACAGACCCACCCCAGTTTGTTGCGGCATCAATATAAGCAGGACCCCAGTCGACAGAAATCAGTTGAGTTGGAGTTGCAGTTGAGAGTTGGACCGCGGGCAGGGATAGAGCCTGAACGCGGCCATCAGGCCCGATTCACTCGCCCCTTTGCGGGCAGAAGAATCCTCAGACAAGAAATCCTTCCAGCCCAAGTCGAAGACAGGAGAACTTCCAGCCCAAGTAGACGAAGAAGAAGATTGCCTGAAAGCCTGAGAAGAATTGGAGATGCAGACAAGCCGAAAGTCGATGAGAAGTTAAAGTTCAGCCCCGGACGGCAGTGAGAAGAGACCACCTCAGACGACAGAGAGTTGCGGCTAAGTTGAAACAAGAAATCTTCCACCAAGTTGAAACAGGAAAACTACCAGCCCAAGCAGACGAAGAAGAAGAAATACAACTCAAGTCGGAGAGAAGAATCAACTGCGAATGATCGATAGAAATTAGCCCCAGTGTCGAACTGAACCACACTCCGACATACATACATGATTCTAGAAAGTAGGTAATTCGACATTTTCTATTGTGTGATAGAAGCTTGGTGCCATAGTCCACAGAGCGGGTCGGGAATTGAGAACAATTTTGTTTTTATGTAACGGACATTAAGATATAAAAGGTTGTTACCCTTTTTATCAGCAATTTTGTTTAGTGTCGTGAGTTTTGTTTTATTTGTGTTTTGCCACCCCGTCGGACTCGACTTGTTTCGGCCCAAATCCTGCTGGTCCCGTCTGTCTAAGATCTAAACACAGCGTGGGTAGACAGACCGGAGATCGGTATAGTTGCTTTAGTGACCAGGTATTGGAAGCGAGTCGGGAAAGGCGAGGCTGGTGATCATCTGACCAAAGGGTTGGAGCGGCACGCTTGGACCCAGGAGGAGCGACCAGGAGGAGCGACGTCACCGTTGGCGCCGTAACCAAAGGATCCGACACTGGGCCAGGTGTGTAACCGTCACAAGTGGTGCCGTGACCAGGATCAACCCTGAGACAACCACGTCACATATGGTGCCGTGGGGACCGAGGGATTTCAACCCCTGAGAAGACCACGATCGACCGCCGTTGCTGAAAGTTCAAGCAGAAATCAGAACGACCCGGGACCAAAGGAAAAGAAGGAACAGAATCGTCTGTAAGGTAGGACACCTTGTTTTGTTTCCCAACCTCGATTGTTGCTATATAGACTGTCTTTCTCTGTAGACATGTCAGATTATGAGTCGGATAGAGCAGTGGGGGTGAAGAAGAAGTAGGGCGGGGTTGTCAGTGGATCTAAGGAAGCTGTTGGGTGGACCGAGGGTCCCAGTATTTGATGGCAGCGGGAAGGAGTTTAGGAACTGGCTGGCAATCCTCGAGAAGAGCCGAACCATCTACGAGCTCTCGGACCAAGAAACCCTGTACCTGGCATACGATGCCACAAAGGAAAAGCGTCTGAGTTCGTAAGGGGCTCGTGGAGAACCAACCCCTGCTTGGCTTGGGAAGAAATAGAAAGACAACTGACCAAAGAATTCGCCGACGAAGGTACGGCCATAGAGGCCATGAGGGCCCTTTTAAACTGACACAGCTACGGGATGAAACCCCGAGAATTAGGGGCCCGAGCGGGGAAGTTATCGTCATTGGCATTCCCCGAAGTGGTCAGGGATAATGCGGTTATGCAGGCTCAACTGGCGGACCTGTATGTAGAGGCGCTGAGCGACGAGCGTGTTCG